ACGATTGCAAAATTAAGACACTTTATTTTGTTTCATATGAAGGTATACATGAAGAAGAGAGGGGCTACTGTGGATATGAAATGGCAATAGCATCAAATGTGCCTTACATGGAAGGTTATAGGCCAAGAATCACAAGCACTCCAGTTATATGGAATAAACCACCGGAAGGTTTGCTAAAAATAAATACTGATAGAAGCAGTAATATTACAAAGAGAACTGCAGAAATTGGAGGGGGTGGTTAGGAACAGAAATGGAGATTTGGTCATGGCATTTGCCAAAGCTCTTCATTTCTGTAATAACAACCAAACTGAAGTTCAGGAAGCACTCTATGCTCTTAATTGGTGCAAGCAAAACAATGTGACCAACTGCATCCTAGAGATGGATTCTCTCATGACTGTCTATATGATGAAGGGTGTTTATAAATCTCCTTGGGAGCTTACAGATGACATCAAGTACATGACTCAAATTGCAAAATCCTTGAACATAGAAGGTCATCATTGCTATAGAGAAGGAAATGAAATTGCTGATGCCTTAGCCAAATTTGGAGCCAACTCGCAAATTTCTACAGAGGCAAGGATTTTCTCTCAAGTTTTTGAATTACCAGCTGAAGCAAGAGGAGCTTATCGAATGGATAAGGCACAATTCACATGTTTTAGAATTAGGCATAGGAGGAGCGATACAAACTCTAATGGTGACTGTGTATGTAATTAGCCTCATTTTTTGTAATTAAAAAAAATACACACTTTGGGAGATTCAGCAATTTTCTTGGGCCGCAATAGAGCCAGTTCTATTGACTCCTCTAGGTTTACAGGGGTCAAGCCTAACCATTTATATATGGTTGATATTACCCGCCCTAACTAAGATTTACTTACAAATTATATACAATTCATTATTAGTGCCTTAAATTAGGGCATTCTGTTACTCTCTTTTTCTTTTTTCTCTCCTCTCCTCTTGCCCTGTTCTCTGCCGCATCTCTCCACTCAAAACTCCCTTAATTGAGTGTCAAATTATGTGGGTCAACCCACACTACATATTTTACGATGTAGCAGGAAAATAGAAGTTACCAGTCAATTCTATGTTTAATGTAAACATTAATACCTTGAAATTGAAGAACACATAGACATCCAAAAGCAATGGCAATCAGGAGTGACCCATTCTTTTCCTTGATTATACCACTGACCGCTTCTTCTTTTTCAAGCCTAAAAGTGTTAACTGTTTTTCTACTAGTATTTGTAGTTATTCCTTTACGAAAGAACATCCACATTGAGCACTGACCATTTGATAATGAGATTCAAGGCATTATTTGTCTGATTCACCACATCTGCCTGATTCCCAAATATTTTTCCTTATACTTTCACACTTTCTTTTTAATGAGAATTTATTTTCAAAATATATGGAATCTTGCAAATAGCTACAGATTCAAGGCAAGTTATTTGTAAATAAAACTATGTATCAAAGCAATATTTGGCATATATCAACATATCATTCATACTATTGCTTGTCCATATGACAATAAATTTATTTTTCGTCAAAACTTTTAAGATGCAAGAAAAATAGTTTCAAACATGGAAATTGGAGTGCAGATTTTAGTGCTGAATAAGCATCGAATCCAATTTTGGTCTTTTGAGGATGGGTTCTAACATTGGATTCTTTGAAAAGACGCATACTTCTTTTAGCTAAGAAAAGAATAATGTATGGTACACCAATGTACAAATTTAAAACAAAGTTCATACAAATTTAATGCAAATTTGAATATCTACAACAATATGCATACTAAAATTAAATTTTATACAACTAATTATATAGTATACAACTTATCTATAATTTTCATACATTATCTCTACCCAGTTAAATATAACTACAATATCATACAACTTAAATATAATTTTAATACAAATTGTATACAATATGCCTTTTGTATGTATTTTATATATAATTTGTATATATTTTGTAAGTGGTGTGTTCTTCTTCCTCTCTGAAATTTCAATCAAAACTTCCTGTCTTAATACAATTTTGATACATATTAACAAGTTTATGTAAAAAAATAGTATTGATAACTTAAATACAAATTTTATACAACGATTCATACATTATACAACTATTTTTCAACTTTCATACAACATTCAAATAAAATATATATAACTACAACAGAATACAATTTACATACAATTATAATACAACTTTACTACAATTTCGTAAGTATATTGTATGTCATGTGTTCTTCTTCTTCCTTTACGAGTTTCAATCTGAAATTCAGCCAAAATCAAGTCTAATCTTCACCAAACACCCTAAAAAATTGAGATATAAACTCCAAACAATATTCTCAATTGTTTGAAACAACACACAATCCAAACAAATAATGGTTTTTGAAAATCCAAATTCGATTTTAAAGCTTCAAAACTTTTTAATGGCTGTCAACGGTGGAGAGTCAAACACCTTCAAAATTTATTGATTGACAATTTCAATTTGAACACCAATTGTGCAACATGAAAGGAAATTGCTAAGTTAAAGCGATTGAAATCCATTGAGGAATTCCATTAAAACTCTATACAAGAAGAAAGCATAAAAAACAGAGAACATCAAATGAAGAAAAATTGGAAAAAAAACAGAAAAGGAGTAGAGAGGCGAAAAGAGAGAGACAGAGACATATATATATAGAGAGAGAGGGGTCAAGTATAAAGGGATAAGGAAATAACTGATATTCCTTATTCAATTCCTAATATAAAGGGATACTCATTTAAAACTTATTTGTATATAATTAGTAAATTATATATGACAATGTAATTAAATTGAAACTTGAGTAGGGAAGGTAATAAAGTTTCAAATAATGTATAAGAGATATTGTGAAGGTGGCAGTGGCGGAAGATATATGGGGACTTACAATCTTAAAGATAGAAAAATTGAATCTTTTTATTATGGATTGTCACTATGTCCTATTTGCCCGCCAACTTGGGTAAGGGTGTTCATGGTTCGGTTTGGGTCGATTTTTCCTTTAAAAAAAATCAAATCAAGTAAGTCGGTTTTTCAAATATTGGAACCAAACCAAACCAATTAAGTCGGTTTTTTATCGATTCGGTTTTTGTCAGTTTTTCGATTTTTTCGGTTATTTATCGGATTTTTTTAAAATATGAGACATACACTACCAAACGCATATTCCGGCGACTACATTTTCAACGTAACACTATCAAACTAATTGCTCTTTGAGAAATTTATCATTTACCAAAATATATTGATGATAATTGACTCAAAGNTATATGTGTGTGTGTGTGTGTGTGTGTAATAATAAATTTATATAGCTACTTTTATAGCTACTTTTAAGGTGTGTAAATAATTTTTCTCTATTTAATAAAGTCTAGTTGTGCTTTCTCTGCTACATTTGCAAAGCTGTAGGTGGCATAACTTATTATATTTTGTCTTTCAAGCAACGTTAACATAAAAGAAAAGAAATGAGACTAGTTGAAACCTAGGTCGCACCTAAGATCACATTTTCCTAGCACAAATCTTAGATCATGTTTTGCCAGATTAAAATTATTAATGTGAATGCAGTTGGACCGAATCATGGGATCCTGTCCCTATGTTGTGTTTTTGCAGCTATAGTTGTCACCCTCCAAGTTAAGTGACAAAACAACACCCCCACTTTCCCTTTCCACTAATTTAACCTAAAACAAACTACTACCTTTGACTTTATAGCAATTCACACAATACAGAAAACAAAACTGTTTTTTAATCAACAAAATAATCACCAAACACACGCTTATTGGATCCAAGTTTGAATAGAATGTCAATGCCATTCCCCCTCCACTGCCTTTGACAATTGGAAAAAGCACAAGAACCATCCTTTCCTATTGTAAAATTAATAAATATATTGTACCAAAGGGAACAGCCACTAATCAAAAGGCCATAAAATTCAAAGTAGTGTCAAGAGTAGGTGAGTGTCCCCACATCTTCATTTTGACCCAGACCCAGACATATTATATGTTTCTTAATATTAATGAATTCAAGATTCACTTTATTCGATTGAGACATTATTTTACTAAACAATATGCTTCATATTCTATTTTTTTTTTTAAACAAAATCATTGATGTTATAGGTGGGAATCAAGAACCGACTTTGACTCAAAAGGAGAAAATGTTGTTTCTAAGGGGAAAAATAAGCATCCAAAAGACTAGGGTCCAATATTGCAAAGTCCAGTTTACTTTGACAAACTCATTATAAAACATACAATAATATAGTATTAGTTTCTAGTTCCCTACATTGAAGATCTATTACCTCTCCACTCCACATGGAAAAAGTTTTTATGATATCTTTGAAAAATTAATTAATGATGACTATGGAGGTAGCACTAGCAATATTAAAGAGCACATGGAAGCTTCTTTTACTGTTAATTAATCATTTCCAATTTGTAAGTGTTTCATATTCAAATAAATAGTCTCCATTTTACTGTAACAAAGACTTTAGCATCAACTACATCTTGTACCTTCGTTACATTGTCACATACCACAAGAAATTTAGGGATATGGATACCGATGCGGGGATCATACTAAAAATAATTCAAAAAATTTAAAATATAAAATTGTCTCTAAATTATAAAAAAAATTGTGGAATACCCATGTATAACTCGTAAAGTGTGAAGAATTTCTTTTTTTTATTATTTTCAAGTTGTAAATAAGTAAAAGATTGATTTCCCAGATAAGGTATGCTATTTTCTTCAAATTTACCATAGTTTTGGCTCTGATTTCGGGAATCAAATTATATTTCATCTCGAATTTTTTTGCCCGTCATAGTCAAAGTACCCAAAATTATTTGACCAGATCCGGTATGAATCACATACTCACACCCATACTAGTATTGTGCCGACATAGGTGTGGCACCTGAACTGTCGTGTCGGGCATACGCCACGCTGAAAAGGCACTTGTTCCCTAAACATGTCTTGAAGAATCCAAGTTATACAGCACATGCATATAAAGATACCACAAAAGGAAGAGGGAGCCACTAGGAAGGAAGAAAAATAAGACCTCTAAATTAAATTGCAGAAAATTAAACTGACAAGACTTTTGGAACCCAGAAAGGAAGAAAGAACTATGCTACACTAGTCGTCATATAAGGACATCTAGTATATACTTTGGGATATTTTACATTAGCTCATCTTTTTTTTCTAAATGTAGTGGCTATAAGTTAAATTTGGATGGATCGAAGAAAATTTAACGTGAATTCAACAAATGAAGAAATGCATTCGAGAATCAATCACGAGAAAAATACACGGAGAGAATGTGTAGAGGAAAGGCTCGAGAGGCATACATTGTCATACTTCACTGACTTCACCTTCCCTACAGACACCGACATCCACCACCATGCTTTTCGCCTTTGAGCGTAAGACTCTGCAGCAGTTCCTCCTTTGAGACTGGCCAAAATCAATATACACCAGTCATAATATGAAGACACGAAGTGGCTATCTAAATAAAAGAACAAGAATGTAACTTCTTGCTATTTGCAAATGCATTAACCTGCTCCCATCTTGTTGTTCAGTCAGCTAATAAGATATAGGCGGAATACATCGACAGCCCCTTAAAACTTGTCAGTATATTTTATTTAAACACTCGAACTAAAAGCCGTGTTCCAATGGAGCACCTGAGCATATGATAAAGCGTTCCTATTAAACACTTATATGGGCTCAAACCTATGAAAAGCTTTTGTGCATGTTCTCAAGTGCCCATTATGCGGATAAGCTAAAAACTTAAAAATATGCTGCCACCTTTAATTATTCATATCATATATATAAGCCTTTGTTATAAGTTATAACAAACAAAAATAAAATCCGAAAAAAGAACCCAATTAATTAAAAATATGACCCGCTCCATTAAACAAAAAACCTGCTCCGTTAAAAAAGAAAATCAAGAGCCATTTTTCCAAAATCTCCCCAACAAATGAAAACCAAGTGTCCAATAGGAATACTTTATCATGTGTTCAGGCGCTCAATTGGAACAATCCTAAGAGTGTCTACGTGAAATATGCTGGCAAGTTTAAAGGTCTATCAATGTATTCCGCCTAATATATATGTTTCAGTTTAAGACAATCCTTTACTGTTATATACCTTTTTTCCTATCTGATATCATACAAAGTACAGGTATGCCAACCCAAGAACACCATCAAAATACACTACGGTAACATACTTCCCTTGATGATTATGAAGCAAAAATAAGTGAATAAACCAAAGGAACTTACCCGATCCCATAGATGTGGGTCAGGCTTCTTATGAACCTGAATGCGATCAACATCAGCAGGGTCTGCCATCTTCCACTTGCATGCTGGATGAGGAACTCGATGACGAGTATACTGGCTCACTGTTTGGTTGTTGTAAGGATCCATTTTGGCATGGGATAAATAAAACACAAAAGGTTTTTGACATGGGTTCCTCGCAACTGGCCTCGTGTTAAAAGCATATGCAGTATAATCTGCTCTTTTATACCAATTCAGGAAGGTCCTTGACGGCATTTCTATTTCCCGGGGAGACAAAATGCCACGGAATATTTGAACTGCAAATCCCCATGATACTGACACGGTCCAACCATTAGCTCTGTCGTAGCAAATGGATTGTTGCATAAGACCAGCCGAATCAAGCTTCATTGGAACTGTAAGACGCTGTAAAGCTTGCACTCGAGTCACATTAGGAAAGATTGGCTCCACCACGTCAAGATGGTGCAATGTCACTAATGGTGCTATTGGATGTGATGCTAGAAGCCCGAATAAGTTCCCGTACACATCATACTGTGTTGCCATAATAAAGAAAGTCATAGTCAGATAGGCTTTTATTTAAATCATTAACAAGGTACAAAGCACAGGCACAATTACATCTGGACCAGCAATTTCCACGATGCAGTAAACAGAAGAACTAAAAGCTACTGTATTGTCAATAAATTCATAGATGCACAAGCCACAAACTGAAACAAGAATACACAGATTACAAGGTATTTCTGCTTATAGTGACAAAATACAAACGACCCCATCTAGGACATGATAAGATCCGAACATGGCGACTGATTAAACTTTTTTATGCCCTCAATTAAAAAAAGCAAAATCCTGCATTCACCAGCACAAGTACTGCATTCCGCCCCTAATTACTCAGACTTGTCATTAACATAAAAATATCTTCTCATAGACAACTCAAGCAGAATATCAAAAGAGTAACAAGGAGAAAAACAATACAAGCAACCACATTCTTCCGAGAAAACGGATTTAGCTCAAATCTGCAAATTAAAGGAACCTCTTTTTTCTTTCCTTTTTCTTTCTTTTATTTGGGGAATTCACATAAAAATGTCAACTTTAAGTTAGTATAGAAGTCTCCAAACTTCTACTACCACTCTTGCATTCTTCTTCTGTGAGTTTGGCGCACATGTGACAATTGATACTGACTTGTCCCAGAATTCACAAAATTAACAGACTCCTCTAGTGACTTGTAGTGACCAGATACACATGTGATGTCTTTTAAGACTCATTAAGAAAACCCCACTACCAATAGTGAAAATGCAGTGAAAAGTACTCCACAATGTGAGATGTTGCCAGGTTTTTCTCCCACATTGATAACTATTTCAAGAGAACATTGCAATGTGAAAATGGTAAAAACAAATCATACAAATAAAAATTCAATTTAAGATATATGCACTGATAGTGTAAACAATTTTACACCATCATCTCAATTTAACAAGCTATAGTAGGTTACAACAACAACAACAACAATCCGGTAAAATCCCATAAGTGGGGTCTGGGGAGGTTATTGTGCACGCATAGTAGGTTACAACAACAACAACAACCCGATAAAATCCCACAAGTGGGGTCTGGGGAGGTTATTGTGCACGCATACCTTACCTCTACCTGGGTAGAGAGCAGGTAGAGAGGTTGTTTCCGATAGACCTTCGGCTCAAGAATACGAAAAGAGACAATGGATCAGTAACGGCAACCGAGACCAAAAAGATAACAACAAGAAGCTATATAGTAGGTTATTAATCTATTTTCTAGGTAGATCAGTAACAACAACAACAACAGAGACCAAAGATAACAGCAACAAGCTATAGTTGGTTATTAATCTACTTTCTAGGTAGTCATATCAGATTTACTATGAAGATTTACCAGTAAATCAATTTAATCCGGTGGTGTAAATAATTAATAAACTGACAGTACATAAAACATAAAACTCACAAACACATATATTCAAGATTCATCCCTAAGTAAATGCATTGTCGGCAAAAAGAGCAAGAACGCAAAAAAGAAAAGTAAAAATAAAAAAATAAAAAAATAAAAATAGGAAACCAAACTAACCTGGTGAAAACCGATTTCTTTAGTGAGAGGAACACCAAGTTCAGCCATACAAGCTTGCATTCTATCATCAGAACCATAAAGCCCAGGATACCTTTGAATACACTTATCTTGCATTTTCTCAAGAGCTTTAGCTAAAGGATAGCTAATAGCAAATCCACCACCCCCATATGCCATACTATAAGAAAAATAAATATTCTGCAAATGACTCTCACTTAAACTCCCAATATAATAATACTGATTATGATCATACTTATTCAAAATCCTCACTAAATTATCGGTTACAAAAACTGTATCATCATCTCCCATTACAAACCACCTCACATTTTCCATCCCTAACCTTAAAGTCTCCGAAACAATTCTCGATATTCGTATCGCCGACCGGTGACCTTGTCGGTTCGTGTACGAAAACCGGGAAGTATCGCCGGAGATTCTTAGCTCCGGCAACGCTCCCCGGTCATCTTTTACCGTTTTTACCGGTTTATCTAACCAAACAATACCTCTCATTTTTTCCTCCGGTTTCCACCATAGCTTTATATAATCTTTTCTTTTTTCCCACAACTTTGCTGACGCTGCAATGCCGAAAACTATATGTTCAAGCCCCGTTTTTTCTTCATCGTTAACAATTAAGGGCTGGATCGACTTAGGGGAATTAAAGGAAGAGGAATGAAGGAGTAGACTGTTACGAGTGAAAACGATGTCGTTGCTGTTGCAGGGTTTAGAGGAAACATCAACAAGCTTGAGAGTGTAAACAATATAAGTGGCAGAAACAAAGAGGATAAGCGACACCATTAATTTAGGCAAAGCTCGATTTTGTAAACCAAATGGTGACCCAGAAGAAGAACTTCTCATCTGATGATCCCAACAGATGATTTTTTCTGAATCTTTTTCTTTCTGGGTCACTTTCATTCTCGCTCCCTTTACAAAACCCAAAAACAATAATTCCTCAAACTAACAATAATTCCTCAAGCTTTACCAGTATGTTTCAAAAAAACCATATGGGTATTTGTTTAGCCAAAATTTTAGTATTTCGGTATCGGTATTTTTCTGAAATTTTGAGAAGGTGGCTGTTGGATCTGTTAAAAAAAAAACAGAAGAAGAGGGGGTTATGAATATGTGGGTAGGAACTAAAGAGATAAGACTGAAAAATACATAAGGGGTTTCAGAGAAAAAGGAAAACAACATGCATTGGGGAATTGCTGATATCAAGAAGAAAGAGAGAAGAGAAGAGGCCGCACTCTTTCTGATTTTTCTCAGCTACAGCTAAGAGGGAAGAGAGAAGAAAAGGAGAGTCCTTTAGCTAAAGTGTCATCTTTTTAGTTTTTGATTTTTGTTTTCTTGTTTAGCTTAATGTCACCAAAAATAGTTAAAATCGTAATAAGAGAGGTAAAACATAGTACTCCTATTTTTTCAATGTTTAGATGTTACTAACCCTGGAGTATTTTTTTTGGTTATAAAATACAAATATCTTAAAATTTAACTATATGAAAAGCACTATTTAACAGTAATTTTCATAACCAACTAATTAATTTTTTTAGAAAATTTTGGGAAAAATTCATCACTATCTTTCTAAATTTATATTGGATAACATACTCATTATACAACAACTCGCAAATTTCACTGGAGACTAAACTGTACGAGGAGGCAAGTCCAACTAGACAAATCTAACTTTTAATATCACTTACTTATATCCTTTTCCTTCCATAGTGTGTTATAAAAGTAGATTTAAATTAATTTTGAGAAATGTTGGATCTCTTGAGAAAACATTCTGCCATATAATATACATCTTAAAATCTTTTGAGATAATTTTTATTTATATGATTTAAATCCTTGCTTACTTTCATTTAGTACTTTTAACTGTCACTTATTATACCTTGAATGGTGTATTTAGAAGTCAATTTAAAACATAAGTAAACTATGTCAAAAGGGAAATTTTCACTTTATTTATTATAATAATTTCTATAGTCAAAACTTTTACGATAAGTGGACATACTAAAAGACAATTTGACTCACTGCCGCTAATTTCTATATTTAAAACTTATGAATTCAATTAATTTAGATTTGGGTCACTTATATGACTCGTGTAAGGAAAAATAGTTCCCTATTGGGTCTAATTTGCAAGTGACTGATTCGAACTATAGAAACATAATTAATGTTTATATTAAAATAGATTATTCATATTACACGCTTAATATTCTTTCATAAATTCTGCATAAATATAAAATACTTTGTATAATAAATTATCTTTTTTATTCCTTATTAAAAACCTAGGGCTGCTCCCGTCAATTAGATATTTCGAATTCGAATTCTGTGTATGAAAAAATATTTGATAGAAAACGCTTATTCCGAATGAGGCTTTACTCGATGCGAATCCGATATAGTCAGGTTTGAATGCGTGTACGCGTGAAACCCCCAAAAAAAAAAAAAATACTATCATAGAGTATTACGTACTTTTTTTGTCGGGTCGCTATCTCTTTCATTGTCTCTCACACAGTAAGCAGTGTACTTTGTGTGGGCAGAAAGAGGAAGTTTCAAGGTGACGCGTGTCATCAAATTAATAAATTGAGGGGGAAAAAGACAATGCAGTATTGAGTATTGGCTACTGGGGTCGGTGGGATTTGATCCCCTTGTGAACCCACTTAATCCATGTACCTGGGGAAAAATTAAATCTATGGACCTGCCAAATGTCGGAAATAAACTTTATTTAAATAGGAAATTTTGTGGGAAAATAACGTAATTTCCAGTTTAAATATTCATTTGGAAAATTTTGTTTTGAGATGGTAAAAGATACAAAGAGTGGTGATACTTTTGGGAAAATGGTAAATCTGGGTTATATATAAAAACTCATATAAATTGACAAACAAGGATTAGCTGTGATTTATCAGAAACAACCTCTTTATTTATACAAGATAAGGGTGTTAGTTATCCGTGTTCGAAAAATAAAGTGAAAACAGAAACGTAAACATAAGAATTAAAAGTTCTGAGTCCAACATTGGATTTTCTTTCATTTTCGAATGAGAGAAAATGCATTAGTAAAAGTAATACTTCAAACTTTTCGTTTCCCTCCGAATCTTTTCCCTTCATTTCTCATTCACACATCTTTAGATAAAAAACAAATAACAAAGGGTAAATCCTTTCCCTCCATTTCTCATTCACGCATCTTTAGATAATAAACAAACAACAAAGGGTAAGACTGCATATTTACTACCTCCCCAAACTTCAATTTTGAAATTATATTGTTATTATCGTTGAAGGATTAGATAATACTCCTATTTCTAATTTTTGAAGCTATTATCATCATATAAAATAAAATGATTAGCTCACATGAATTCAAGATCACATTTTTATCAAAAGCATAATTAGCGAATGTGCACTTGCCAGTTAGACTTAGACCTATGCTTGAACTATACATAGAGAGTCCTTTTTTTTTTTTCTTTTTTCCTCATAACATAGAGAGTTGTAACTGAATAGTATTAATATTTTTTCTAATTCCCTATTTATTATTATTATCAGAAGATAGTAAATATAATGGTATTTCAGACCAACCAAACTTTCAATCATGCATCTACTTCTTTAAGATGAATTAATATGAAACCCAATAAATTAATTAAATAAATAAATCTCTACTAATTAATGCATAGGAACTGCAAATGCATTGTAATTTGTAGGAGGGTTTACGTGTGAACAAATAATTACTATACTAGTAACGTTTTGCCTTCTTTTTACTGCAAAGAGCAACAAATCAATGGCACCGCACTTTGAATACGGCTGACCTTTGGGTTTCGCAAATAAATAAATGTCGCCACTCTTTTAATACGCCAACTACAACCCATAAATTACTCTCCATTAATTTTCTTCCAGTTTAGACTGCCAATGTGCCATATAGTTCGGTTTCGTTTTTTTTTCCCACATGAACGTTATAAATAAAAAAATAATAATAAAAAAAAATAGAGTGTGTGACTGTACGTGGTATGAAGATTTTTTTATTTTTATTTTTATTTTTTATGTTTACATAGAAAATGATTTTTGGAAAAATATTTTCACATGTATTTAGTTGGCGAGATGAAAATATTATTTAAAAAATATATATATTAAAGGATTAATAATATTAACTAATCGGAGAGTATGTTTTGATGAAAAGTTTAAGTACAAAATATTAATTAGAATAACTTATTATAAGCTAAGTTGGAATAAGTAATATGAAGTTAAAATATTATGATAATGGTAAGGAAAATGACTTTGGTCTGTGAGTGAGGTATAAGTCATTTTCCTCATTTTAATAAAATATTTTTCGTGAAAAAACATTCGTACTAAAAGTTAACTTGTTTATGAAAAACATTGTCCAGAAAGATTTAATTCTTACAAACACAGTAACACACCTTTAAGAGTTCAATTTTGCAACTTTTATGATTCTATTTTAGCATTTTGTGAATTGATATAGTATACCTAATATAGTTAGTTATATAGTGTTTGATTTGTGATAATTAATTTTGAAATTCACAATCTGTTAATTAATAAAACTTTGGCAGGCAAGGTTACTGAACTTTGCTTCAAGCTACATTGAACTAGAGAAAGCATTAACGCCTGGCTTTTTGAGATCAGAATTAAATTCAGAGAAGCATTTGCACGTTCCTTTTGGAGAAATATTAAATTAAAGAACACTGTATTTATTATTACCTCATTGTGTCTGTAAATGCAAATTCATCACTATAAATAAATAATTTTATTTTAATTCCAACTAAAGAAATTGGTCACTACCGTTTGCTTTTATATCTATCCAACAATCCAAACAATACACCACACTTTTCTAAATATTTTAATCTAAAATTTTAGTTTCAGGAAAATTAAGAAGATTAAAAATGGATAGATTTGAATAATTAGCTCAGCAGATGGGTTGGTTCAGTGCGTCTTATATGTGTTGTGTGTGTTGACAGTAACCATAAAGACTGCCAAAATTGGTGGGTTTTCATTTTCGTTGTTGTCTCTATCAATTCTGCTATTTTCTGCGTAAACTATACAATAGATTTTAATAAAAATGAAAAAGGGAACGTTCAAAAAATTTCCCTCTATGACTAGAAAATAGATGGAAATTAATAAGAGAGATGGGTTGATTGTTCCGTTACACTTACAAATATATATAGATACACTAATAAGAAAGGTCTAATATTTTTCTTCATATAAACCACTTAAAGAAAATAAAGTTATCTTCATCCATTTTTTTAACCCTTCCGAGGAGCTTCTAACTTTACTCTCTCTCGATGACTCGAACCCGTAACATTTATATTTGAGAATTATAATTAGCTTCAGCTTGCGAATAAATTACCACGAATACGACCATTATTGTAGTAAAAAATGTATTGACCAACTCTCCTATCTCTCCTTTTCATTTAACTCTCTTAAGAGTAGTTGTTTCCTTTATTTATCACAAGGTTTATCAACCCTCTTTTGGAATTATGAATTTGATACGTGTCACGGTCAACTGCTTATAACATGAATATGTTTCAATAAAATATAATTATCAAAAGATCATTATGCCACAAACAAGAGACCAACTTATTTGTTAAAGTTGAAAATTTCTTGGAACTTTAAACCTTTTTTCTCCTGGCATCTTCGTCTAAATCGTGGGAAAAGCACATGAATTTCTGACTACCTTAATTCAATAAAAAAATTTAAAAAAAAACAATACTCTGTCCAGAAATGTGCTGGACAAACAGTAATTCGACATAATACTATTGAGATCAAATCTAAGTGCCAAACCTTATTAGATTCATTCTAGGCATAAAAATATCATTGCTTGGATTATAAATATATGGTTGGTCATATCAAGAAACAAGAACGGCCAGGAATTAAGGAGCTAGCCTCTTATTTTTAAATATACATTTTTTGTCGGTCTTTACCTTTTCTTTTCCCCTCCTTGTTTCTTTTTTTCTCCAAATTCTATTCCTTCACAGATATTTATAAATAGATGGTTAAAAATAGGTATAATTAATCAAATAGACCAAAAACTAATTGCAGGTGTTTATGCTAAACATGAGTTGAAAACTTAAAACTTGTACCTCATTCTCGTCTTCAACGGGGTATGTTTTTTTCTTTTTTTGAGAGAGAGATCGTACATCTATAATCTTTAATGAAGTGAAGTTATTTGTCGATTCGTAAACTCATCCTCATGTTGTTTAGCTTTACTAATTAAGTCAGTTGTCCGCCACATTTCTTTCCCATATAGCATTATAGATAGCAGCCTTAGAAACAGATAACTTTATGGTCAATTTCTATTTTGTTTGTTGGAAGGTTCATAAAGAAGGTTAGTTGCATG